CAGAGAAACCCTGTCTCGAAACAACAACAACAACAACAAGAATAGAATTCAATCTCATCATCTCCAGTCAAAACAATAAAACTGTAAAGAGGTCCAGGTTTTCTGACATAGATTCCATGTTCTTCCAACCACGCCATATGCAGAGGTCTCAAAGACAAGAGCAGAAACCCCAGCCTCACTGGCATCTGTCTGCGTGGCCTTAGGGAATACAAAGACCGCTCTCACCCAGTTGCCTTAGCTGTGAAATGAAGGGAAGATGTCTAGCTTGGGTTGGAGAGATGGCTTAGTGGTTAAGAACATGCACTGCTTTTGAAGACAACCCAAGTTCAGTTCCCAGCACCCTCATTGGGAGGTTCACAACTATGACTTCAAGAGCTGATGCTTCTCACCTCCATGGGCACCCACACTCAAGCACACACACACACACACACACACACACACACACACACACACATACACACACGCATAATTAAAAATAATAAAAACAAATTTTGAAAAAGATTTCTGAAGGAGTGTTATAGAATAAAATGTCCACAAGCTATGTGGACAGCATTTAAAATATTATAGCATGCAGGGAAAATATGTTTTTACAATGCGTGAATGAGTATTACTTCTATGCCTACTACTACATTTCAAAAAATAAGATTAATTTATTTTATTTGTATGTGTATGTATGTTTGCCTGTATGTACACATGTACACCATGCATGTGCCTAGTACCCTCAGAAGTCAGAAGAGGGTGTCATATCCCTTGGTACTGGAGCTACAGGTGGTTATGAACCACCATGTGAGTGCTGAGAAATGAACCTCAGGACTCTGTAAGGGCAACAGGTGTCCTTAATCACTGAGCAATCTCCCAAGGCCCCTATCACATCTCAGTGCTTACCAGGAATTACCCGCCTAGGCTACTTCCACGTCACTGTGACAGAACTCCTGACAAACAGATGACAGGAGAAAAGGTCCCTTCAGCCAGTCACAGTGGGGAAGGCAGGGTGGGAAGACTCTGGTAGCTGAAGCATTTGGTGGAGATGACAGGGAGCAGAGGCTAGACCAGACCTAGGATTGGGGTATCACCTTCAAAGCCTCACCTCAATGATCTCTTTGTGAGGAGGGCTCCACTTCTTAAACACTCCACAGCTTCAAAATACTACCACCATCTGGGGGTGGAGCATCAAAGTCTGAGCCTTGGGGTGGGGGTGGGAGTAGGGGCACGTCAGCTTCCAAGAGTAGCATTACCACTACTACTAATTGCTTTATCATTTGCTACAATGCTTCACCACATACTGTACTCTGGGAAGCGTACTAGGCACTAAATTAAGAGAGGCGGATGGAGAAGTGTGCCAACATGGGCTCTCTTTCCCTCTTTGTATGATTGCTCATGTGGGCCTTGGAAAAACGAATGTATCTCTCCTACCTAAGACTTGATTCAGGAGAATGAAAATAGAGGTACCTAGGATGCTTCATCAATGACAAAGGAAGTTCAAGCTTATTACATTGTTGCACAAGTTAAAACAGTATTTTGTGTGTGTGCATGTGGTCACCTGTATGTGTACATGTGTGTATGTGCATGTACATGCACACCCAGGTGTGCATGTGGACAGCAGAAAATGTGTTCAGGTATTTTCTTCTATTGCTTTCCACATTATTGCTTTTTATTTTGGTTTTTCAAGGCCAGGTTTTGCAGCCCTGGCCATCCTGGACCTCACTCTGTAGACCAGGCTGGCCTCAAACTCGGAGATTCACCTGCCTCTGCCTTCAGAGTGCTGAGATTAAAGGCATGCGCCACCATCAATGACTATTGCCTTTTCTTGAGGCAGGGTCTCTCCCTCAACCTGGGGCTCACCAATTTGGCTGGCTGGCCTGTGACAAATCTTTGGCATACTTCTCTGCTTCCCCATGGCTGGGATTACAGGTATACATACACCATGGAGCTTGGCTCCCCCACCATGCACCTGGGTGCAGATGTTCAAGGCAAATAAAGCAATATTTCTAATTATGTCTCTTGTGCCAGGCCCGAGGCTAAGTCCTCCAGTCATTAAACACTCCTCTGGTAGAGAAGAGGGAGTGTGAGGCAAGGTTCTGCCAGGAATGTTCAGACTGCTAGGAGGGTCTGCCTTTCCGAGCTTACTCCAGATGGTACAGAGATACCATTTCTTCACAAGGACGACTTTTTGCAAGCTCACCGTGGCTTTCAATTTCAAGCTGAAGATATAACTAGTGTAGTTTTCAATGACTAGCTATTTCTAATCTTTTTACAGATCTGCATAGCATTCAGGATTTGCCTTGCAACTCTCAGAATGGAGACACAGACCCAGCCTCCAAGCGAAAGCAAGCAATTTAGTTCTAACTAACAATAACCAACGTTCATTAAGTGCCTTGTAGGTGAGGCACATTGTGATGTTCCCTGGCCTTTGCCACATGGCTTGGTGACTGAGCCAGGCCACACAGGTGCTCTCCTGTGCACACAGACAACATGTGGCCTCAAGACTATCTTCAGTCTGTGCTGTCTGTCACAGGGTCTTCTTTTCCATTTGCACAGAACATGGAATTCTTTTTGTTTTGTTTTATTTTAATTGTGAACCATTCTGACAAAAAAAAAAATCCTCATGGCTGTCATGTTTAATTGAGCTCCTGAGAGGCCATGTCGGGGAGACTTGGGGATGAATCACCCCCGGTCCCATTGGTCTCACCAAGAACCCATTGATGTTTCATAAATCCAAGTCAGTACGAATTTAATTGAGTTAGCATGCTGAATTAGCTCACATCTAAATGGCATTCATGTCTACAAATGGAATAATTAGAGTCTAGAAAATGGGCTACATCAAGTGGCATCTCAAGTCACCACAGAGAGGCATTTGTATTCCTTCAATCAACTGTGGTGTTTTATTTTTTTTTAAAAAAAAAAAAGAAAGAAACTGCTGTAAGACCCGATTTAGGCGACATGATTAGATGTGGTGCTTGAGTGTGTGGCTTCTTTCATTTTCTGTATATTTATTTACCTGCAGGAGGCCTCTTTACTCATTCTTCAACTATCTGAACAAGCATAGTGAGGCCTTTGGTTATTTTTGATCCACATCACTTAAAAATAAATAAAGGAAAGTAGGAAGGGAGGAGGAGGAAGAGGAAGGGGAGGCGGAGGAATGGTTCCCTGAGTAAAGTACTTTCCTTCCAAGCAGAAGGATCTAAGTTTGATCCTTAAAACCCAAGTCCAAAATCCAGGCATGGTGACGTGTGTTTGCAGTCCCAGCACTGGGGAGGCCAACATAGCGGATTCCTGGTCTTCGCCAGCCAGTTTAGCCTGTTTGGTGAGCTCCAGGCCAGCGGAAAATGTGTCTCCCAAACCCAGGTGGACAGTGTCCTGAGGAGTGACACCCAAGGTTGACCCCTGGCCTTCACACCCACACAAACGCTTGAGCATGTGCACCTGCACATGCATGAACCCCGAACATGTACACACACACACACACCACCACCACCACCACCACCACCACCACCACCACCACCACCACCACCATAGCAAGCAAGGAAGAAGAGATAGTCTTATTTCAGCCTACAAATATGTTTGGTAAAAACATAATTTTTGTTTCTTTTTACTAAATGGAGATGGCTTGTCCCCCACCCCTCCCACCCTACCCCCTTCCTTCCTTCCTTTCTTCATTTCTTTGATCTGCATTTGCTTCTAAGTGCATTGGCTAAAGATAAATTCCCACTCTAAGGGGCAGGTGGGCTTGTCTGTGAATGCCAGATGTACTCTGACAAATTACTAAGTACCTAGTAATAGAAAATTATCATGCATCTCTGTACAGATGGATCTCACTAAATGGCTTTATTTCCAAGATTCTTATTTTTTGGTTTTTTGTGGGGGAGAGCGGATTTTTGTTTTTGGTGAAGCTTTGGGAGATCTGGATTTCATACTCTCAATTAACAGGGAATGCACCGAGCACTATAGCACCAGAGGAAGACATTTTGAGTCAGCAGGCTCACGGCTGTTGTCTAATTCGCACTGGAATCTTCAATCTAATTTACATGCTTAGTTTATTTATTACCCCAATTAAGTTTTGCAAATAGTTTGCAATGAGGTCCTCATGACCTCATAACTCACAATTACTCTTGGGATATCCTGCCCACATTGGCACATTTTGAATAATACTGCAATATCTTCCAGAAAAGGATTGTACTTTGAAAATGATGGATGACAATTGTGGACATCTTATTCCAAAATAGCAGGATTTGAAATGTGCCGTTGGTTGGCCACCTGGTGTCAGGTGCGTGATTCTAAGCGTCTGGGCTTTGGGTCACAGTGCTCCCTGGGACCACCAGGGTCTCCATCACTGGATTCCCTGTGACCTTGGCTTTCTCATCCAGGGCGGGAAGGTGCTGGAATGAGAGATAAGCAGCTCCTGTCATACGAATTGTTTGTGGTATCACTCCATGGACAGACACCCTTCGGTCTTGGATCATATAATATTCCTACTTATTAACAACTCTAGTACGTTCATTGAACATTTAAATTGTAAAATCTAAGTCGAATATGCAACTTAATTAATAGTATTAAACCAATGTCAATGTCTTCACTTTGAGAAATGTGCCGTAGTGTCCTGGTCGATCTTTTGTCAATTTGACACAAGCTAGTTGGAAGAGAAGAGGGAACCTTAATTGAGAAAAAAGACTCCATCAGATTGGCCTAGAAACCAATTCTGTGGTTTATTTTCCTGATGGATGTGCAAGGGACCAACCACTGTGGGCAATGCCACCTCTAGGCAGGTGGTCCTGGATTGTATTAAGAAAGCAGGCTAAGTCAGCTCTGGGGCGCAGGCCAGTAAGTTGCTGTGTGTGGAGAAAGAAGAGGGAGGTGGCCAAGCCCTTGTGTGTGGTTTGGGTCCTAGGCCCGACTTGCACCGTGCAGGAGTGTTGGACCAGTTCTTTGTTGTGTTCACACCCCAATGTCTTCACCTGAGTGGTGGCGATGTTATCGGCAACACAAGCATGCCAGGCCTTCAGGAACAAGTGTCAAAATGTTGTGCATATTTTTATTAAATATCTCTGTAATAGGAGTATCAAGTGTTAAGATCATGTCTCAAAAGACAAAATAAAAAGAAAACAAGTTACCAAAAGAAGTGGGGCATGGCGGTGTACACTTTTAATCCAAGCACAAGGGATGCAGAGGCCTTTGGATGCCTGTGAGTTTGGGGCCAGCACAGTCTACACAATAGTTCCAGAACAGCTAGGACTATGTACAAGGACCCTGTTTCAATATTTATATTAAATACCTTTGGCAGAGGAGTATCAAGTGTTGAAGAGTTGGTATGAGAAACATAGTTTAGTATGTTATAGAAATAATACCAAGATGTGGAAGCATCTTTGCAAATAACTAGCTCTATACCTGTCCAGATACTTCTAAGTCTCTCAGAAGTGGAGAAAAATTAGATAGCTCATCGATGGTGACATGATATCCTGACCAGAAGTGAGTCTACACCTACAAGCCAGTGTTTCTCCCACCTTACCCCATGGATTTTGGTGTTTTTCAGCATTGAGAATAAGACTGATCCAAACAAAGTCAAGCAAAGTGATCAGGGCATTTCTAGATTTGTCTTTAAAATACACTCTGTCTCTAATTATCTATCCTCATACAGCTGCCACGAATTTCTAAGCCAGGAGGCTTACTTGTTGAGGGTGGTGTAGTTACGACTTGGAAAGGTTCAAATAAATACACCGGAGTATTTCATGGGGTCAAACAGCCTGATGATGACACATGCTTGCATAGACCATCTCTGCAGACTCGGTCATCTGGTGAGCAAGAGCTGGCAGTCAAAGCTTATTTAAGAACTCAAGCACTCTCCTTGATTTCATCCATGCACCTTGGCAGTATCACTCCCATCGCAGTTCCATAGATAGGAAATTTTGGAGTCACTTTTTTCTTTTGCTGATACTGTCATAGGCCAAAGCCTTATCCAGGATGCTTGGGCTGCGCAGTCTAAGTCTGACCCATCTTCACAAACCTCCCAGCACCTTCCAGGATGCCTGACTCATGTATCAGTTGGTCTGGACTGTTGCTTGAACATGTTTGTTCTTAGGCGATTTGGTGCAGCGTTTTGAAACCTCATACAGCACATAGAAATGATCTCAGAAGCACTTCAACAGGAAAGACAACAGGAAGTGTTTCTGGTTAACTTCAGCATCTCATCAAAGCCCTGGGCGATGTGGCCCTTGCGTCATGCTGCTTCTCATAACCATGCGAGTGGCATTCTTCCTCCAGATGGGAACTCTTCAGATGTGCCTTCTTTTCCCTGCAAGCTCCGTCCTTATTAAAACGCAGTCTGTGGTCTTAATTTGTTCAAATTTGCACTCTCTAGCCCCTGGCACACAGGGGGGTACTACTTATCAAACGGCAATGAATAGTCATTGCTAAAGGTTGTGGGGTTTCCTGTAGGGATAAGGTGTTTCTTGTTATGAACCTGCAACGGGAGAGAAGGCAAATGTCAAGATGCATTCATTGATTAACTGGGAAAATTAGCTCCCCCTCCCATTCCTAAAGAGGATACACTGCTGAGGATAAAGATGTATCTTCAGAAGGAGGTTGTTGCTTCCCTTGAAGACTTTGCATAAAGCCATCATCTCACTTCTAGACTTACCCCTTATCTTTGAATGGAATATGAAATCTTTCTTTTATTACTGTAAATACCATCTCATAAATCTAACACGAAGGCGAGACAGAGCACTGAAAGGTCAGCGATCTTTAGATCAGCAAAAAAAACGTGGACCACATGCTCAGCTGAGCTCACATTTTGTTAAAATGATGCGCTTTAAGAACCAATTAGTAGAATGCATTATGTATGGACATAAATACTCCGTTACTAACACACCTGCCCGGGAAGATGGAGAAAGAGCATCCAGTGAGGGCCCAGCAGTAACCACCATTACAAGAGACAGACTCAGGTGTCTCTGGCCAAAACCTGGGGCTGTGATGGTAGCTTGATCTTCATACCCTGCCCTGAAGAGTGTTAAACTCTAATCCCGATAGTTTAGCTCCTGCGTGTGCTGTTGCTCAAAATGTGGACCAAGGACCAGCAGCAAGTGACATGACCTGGGAGCTTGAAAGACAGGCAGAATCTCAACACATAATTCTATACACACACGTACATACATGAGCCAACATGCCCACCGGATCTCCCCATGTCCCCACCCATGTCCCAATCATCGCTACAGTATGATTCAACATACCGAATCATAATTTACCTTTTAACAAGTTCATCAGTGTTTATGAGCATTAACAGTGGGAAGGTACTAGTATTTATTGCTGTAGAAATAACTTTATTTCATTGTCCATTTTGTTGGCTTATGTCACAAAAGGCATATAGCCCAAGTGACTGTTTAACAATATACAACACACAGGGCGAGGCAGTTTTCCCCAAGGAGGAGCAGACTGATCGTATTAACAGTGCTTTAAACTGTAATGAATTCCCAGTCTAATTCACTGTGAGGCTTCCATTTATACCACGTTTAGAGGACTCCAGGTTCAAGCAATCACTGCAGTAATTAGCTGACTTCCAGTCCTCCAAAATAAACCCACTAATTTTTGCAATCAGCCTTCATTTGGTTAATCACCAGTTTAATTGATTTAATTAGTTTGATCTGCAAAATTAGTCAAGTGTAAATACTGTTTTGTAAACAGAGTTTGGCTCCAAGCTGTAAGATAGGGAATTCTAATTCAAACCTAGAGTTAATAACAAATCCGGGCATGCAGGAGTTTACCCTGGAAGACTGGCTGGTAGTGAGTTTTCCAGGCAGAGGTCTGTGGGTGCCCTGCTGGGTGCTGGGGGAGCCTGCCACCCTGACTATGATGTTGTCTTGGCCACCTCTAGACATCACAGGGTGTATGTTTCCAAGTTCTGAAAATATCTGTCATTTCTCTTTCCAAATGATATGGCTCCAAGAACTCTACTATTGGGTTCCTCAGATTTGAATTTCACACTATTTTTGATATTTCAAGTCTTTCTCATCAATGTATTAAAACAAAACACTTCCTGGAACAAAATTTTACTGCTATCATAGAATTTTTGAAGACAATGTCTATGCAAATTATCAAGATATAGCTTTTATGATACAGAGGACTTTTTTAAAATTAGGTTTTTGACACAATGAATTTGACAAGGCAAAAATTCTTTCACAACTTGCCCCAAAGGAATTCACTGTGCCAGGTAGATTCCATAGAGTCTCTGTAGAATAAACTGTCTTTGAATTCAGAATTACTCTCTGGTATGGTATAAGTGAGGGAGCAGTAGGCAGGAAGGGGATCAGGTATGGCCTCTTAGATCTCTTCTTAGTGAGCCAATTGTCTACATCCTTGCTTTATTTTTTCTTAAATGTTATTATTTGGATGCTTTGGGATTCTTTGAATTATGCTATTAACTGCAAAATTTCCTGGATTGAGAACATCAGTGTGGTGCTTCAGATGCCTTCTCTGACAGTTGGTCAGGAAGCAGGAAATAAGCTGATGGGATGGCTGGGGGCGGGGGAGGAGTCAAGGCACTTGCCATGGAGGCTGATGGCCTGAGTTCAATCCCCAGGACCCACATGGTAGAAGAAGGGAACCGACTTCTGCAAGGTGTCCTCCGACCTCTCCCCTTACACTGTGGCACACATTTGCCCTCTTCCCCCAACCCACACAAAATAAGTAAAAAAATACTAAGCAAATTTAAAAATCTAAAAAAAATTAAGCAAAAGATAACAAGTAACTAAATGACTAAACAGTCAAACTGAACCACCTATAATTTTTACAGTTAAGAGACCATTAAAACAATGGTTGGGGATAGGGGTGTGCAAGCAATACCCATGAACCTATGCTTTGCTGATTGCCACAAACAATGATAACCAACTTATCAACTTGGAAAAATGGAGCATGCTTTTTTGTTCTACATACAATGCTGAATTCCCTTTAGTACACACCCATCAGATCTATAACCACCGTGGTGTCCCAGAATTTTTTTTTCCAGTTCATATATTCTCTGTCCCAACTTAAGAGTTCAAGATCACTCTAGGCTGTGTATTGAGACCCTACTTAAAAATAAGAAAAGAAAGAAAGACATATACAAATGTAAAGCCACACTTGCCTGTGGTTGATATATTGTGCACCCCAATAAAATTTATCAGGGGATCAGAGAACAGAACAGCCACTGGACTAGACATAGAGGCCAGACAGTGGTGGCACACATCTTTAATTTTATCACTTGGGAGGCAGAGATCCATCTTGATCTCTGTGAGTTCAAGGTCACACTGGGAACAGAGCCAGGCATGGTGACACACACCTTTAATCCCAGCACTTGAGATATCATGTCTTTGCTTGGGAAGGACACACACCTTTAATCCCAGGAAATGATGGCGGGAAGCAGAAAGGTATGCAAGGCGTGAGGATCAGGAACTAGAGGCTTTTAAGCAGTTCAACTAGACCCTTTTGGGTGAGGACTCAGAGGTTCTTGGGCTGAGGATTTCCTAGAAGGCTTTTAGCAGCAGTTCAACTGAGACCCTCAGGGGTGAGGACTCAGGAGCTTTCAGTCAGAGGAAACTGGAACACTTGCTCTCTTGAAAGAGAGGCTTCCAGTCTGAGGAAACAGGATGAGCTGAGGAATTGGCGAGGTGAGGTTGGCTGTGGCTTATTCTGTTTCTCTGATCTTCCACATTTCGCTCCAGTATCTGGCCCTGGGTTTGTTGTTGTTGTTAATAAGACCTTTTAAGATTCGTGTTACACTTGCCTCTCTAAGAGTCTCCAGGGGCTGACAGGATGGCTCAGTGGGTAAAAAGTACTTGCTGTGTAAGCCTGACCACCTGAGTTTGATCCCTGGGACTCACATGAAATGTCAGATGCTGTGATGTGTGTCTGTAATTCTCTGTCATCAGGGTGGAAGTCAGAGACAGAAGAACCACCAGGAAGCTTTCAGGTGGTGAGCCAAGGGTATGTAGTGTGGCAGAAACAAGAGAGACCCTGCCTCAAAACAAGATGAAAGGGGAGAACCAGATTCCAAAGTTATCCTCTGACCTCCACATGTGCATCATGACGCTTGCTCTCTCTCTTTCTCTTTCTCTCTCTCTCTCTCTCTCTCTCTCTCTCTCTCTCTCTCTCTCTCTCTCTCT